TTTGAAATTTGGACACAAATCAAAAATATTATTTATTACAAATGATAAATTGTAACAAATTATAAAACAGATAGTTCTAGAAGAACCCAAACTGGTCCAAGTGGCATTATTCAGCAACTGTAAACAAGTGCATGTCACATTACACACCATAATAACAAATCTTGACTTGTTTGGGACACGTTCTAATCTGTACGCTCATATTACTCCATGTTTCTTCACTCTAATGTGCAATTAACATAAAGCAGTTACTCATAGTTACTCAAATTTTTCTCACAGCATTTTTGTAAAGCAATATCTATAGCATTTGACATTTCTACTACAGCATGGTATATGCTGTATACTATCCAAGGGGGCATATTTATGTTTATGCATATTATATAACATGCGCACACAATATACGTATTTGCATAATAATGATTTCCTGTATTCACTGCTGTTCAAAAGTTGGTCTGCAGTTATTTGAAATAAAAAAAATACATAAAGTATTAATTTCGTTCAAACTTTTAAACAGTAGTGTAAGTTTCAATTATGTAATTACATGGTTTACCTTGCATTTTTTTTAACTAGCAGCTATTATTCAGAAAACCCATGATATGCCCCATACATATTATTTTATGTTCAATTGAAACTCAGAATAACTGAGAAACTCTGCACTCCAAATTTAGAAGCTAAAGTACTTTAGTGTACAATTGTCTTTTTTTTTGTTACTGAAAGGTAAAACATTAATGTGTACATTATTTTCACAATTTCAGTAATGAAACTCATAAATCAATGCTTGATTTCCAGATACTCAAGAGAAAAGTTACATACCAGGCATCAATCCATCTATGGGCCGGCTGGTTTCGGGGGTCTGATGATGAAGTAGAGACTGAAAGAAGTAAAGAGAAAAATTATTGCTTTAAGAGACAGATAAATGCTAAAGTGAAACAAATCTGTGCTGAGATCCATAACACAAGCTTTACCAGTTTGCTGTCCAGTGGTTGTTGTTGATGCTGGAACAACGTTGTTGTTTAACATTTAACGAAACCATGGCATGGCAAATTGGAGGAAGGAAAGGTGGGGAAAGAGGATGATGCGCACTAGATAAAACTGAAGCACAGTCCACCAAACATCCAGGACACACTGCTCGCTCAATGTCACTCAGGAACCATGATGACGTCTTCACCTGGGACACAAAAGAAGTCAAATAAAATATTAGATATAAAATAGGTTTTATTATTTCTTATGATAAAAACATCCATATTTTATTTGGTCTTTAGATGGTCTTTTTGGACTTTTCAGTTGTTTTTGAGTCACAGTATGTTATCATGAATGCTTTTCACTCAAAGGATCAAGAAAAATTTAATTTCTCATGATATGACCCCTTTAAATAAATGCACGTGAACACTAAATGACACATTTGGTTTTTCTAAATTCAGGACAATACAAAATGGTGGAACAAAACAAACAAAAGTCAATGGTAAATGTTTAATAATAGCAGGTTCTCGTGCAAATCTCTTAAGTTACTTAGCTGCTGAAATTGTAAAAAAAAGAATACAATTACCAAAACTGCACATTATTCCTGATTTGCTCCGACAAAAAATGCTTTTTAATTTCCTGTCCCATTCAAAAAGGTGCAGCCCTACAGTTGTCATGTTTACAAGGAAGACTATAAATCCTTGAAAACAGTCATTCCTGTGTAACTAAACTTTGCAAGAGGACAAAAAATTTTTTGCTTAATTCTTTCAGGTTTTATTTCTGAATCTTTGACTGGTTTAAGTATTTAAAGGAACACTCCACTATTTTTGAAAATAGGCTCATTTTCCAACTCTCCCTAGAGTTAAACAGTTGAGTTTTACCGTTTTCGAATCCATTCAGCCGATCTCCGGGTCTGGCGGTAGCACTTTTAGCTGTAGCTTAGCATGTCGGTCTTAGTACACGATATAACTACAGAATTGTCAAGTTTTAAATAGGAAAAATATAGAAACTCTTTGGTCATTTTTGAGCGAGATGCTAACGGTCTAATCAGATTCAATGATCTATGCTAAGCTACAGCTAAAAGTGCTACCGCCAGACCCAGAGATCGGCTGAATGGATTCGAAAACGGTAAAACTCAACTGTTTAACTCTAGGGGAGTTGGAAAATGAGCCTATTTTCAGAAATAGTGGAGTGTTCCTTTAAAAAAAATTATACCAAATACAAAATATACTAAAAGGAAGGATCAAACAGCACTCGCCATCTCCATTCTGAAAAATCATTAAACACAATCCTGCATAAAGTGGAAAAAAAAAACGATAATTTCACCTCCACTACTTTCATAGTACAAACAATACTCTCTATAAAGCAGGCATGAGAGCAGTGTTTATTAACTATGCACTGCCTACAGCGAACATATAAAATTCCCTTTGATTAATAAATGCTATACTCCAAAATTGCTGACATCATACTTTTACACTGAAACAAACACGGAATTTCAGGTGACTGACTTGCATGTATTCAAAGTACCGACAAAAAACACTGGAAAGCAGGCTCGCAAAACCCCAAAATAAACAAAAGAACAGGATTTTTCTCCAAAGATTTCTAGAAACTGGCTTAATCTGGCAATTCATTTTTTGTAATAAGGTTAATGTGTTTATGATCTTACATGAACAGAATGTGACCAAATTCTACTTAATATTTCAATATTCTTGTGCTTTAAACTTCTTGTTGTTTATTTCTCTTTTGAAGTATCCTCAGATTATGGTTTAATTAGAGAAAGCGACTGAAGTTCTCGCTTTCCAAACCCCACTAAGGACTGTAACCCTGCAGGGCACAGGCCCAGTCTGCTAGTGGTCTTCCATTACAGCACACATGAATAGGGACTGCTTGGTGACAGGTGTCTGGGAGAGCGGCACAGTCAAGGAACCGGCTGTTCCGCTGGCCTGATGCCACTGTGGGAACTCCTACGAACACATCCTTCCCTGTCTGTGCTCAGGGACACATCGTCGTCCAACGTGACTATTGATGTATGCTAGTGCACTTTTCTTAACTCAAGGGTTTACAGGGGGCCACAAAAGAGTGCTGGGGGCCTGTGGAAAGTTTAGAGAAAAACAATAAATAAAGAATAAAAGTAATAAAATAGGATTAAATAATTTAAAAAAAATTAGTAGGAAAGCAACTAAATAATAGTAACTAAAGTAGTTATACATTATATGTAGTTATATATAGGATTTGGGGGTCACTCGAACAAGATGAATGAACAAATATAGAGGTCCGTGGTATCCGAAAGAGTGAAAACCTATGATTTAGTAAGTGAAGTACACCCCAATTCATTAATTTAGGTGAAGAATCTAGTAATGACGTATCATGGCGGTCACGAGTAGATTCGGGTTCGGTTCCGCCGTTGCCTTGGTAACGCGCTGATGGAGGGGGGAGGGGGAGCCTGCCTGCCTGTCATCTCCATTATAAGCACATTAAGCGTGACATGTAGTACAGCATATTCTTCGTCTACAATTCAAATCATTTTCTGAGATAATTATATATATATATATATATTATATATACATATGTCCCGATCGCATCGACACCTATAAGTTAAATCAAATACAATCGTGCTGAAGGTCGGGGTAGGCCACTCACTGGGTTGCATTTCTAAAGCGTGCGCGTAAGGTTTGCACGGGGCATTAGTCAAGTTTAGCCATTCTAAGCATGCATACACATTAAGAGTATATTGATTTTTGCACGCCGAATGAATAGAATCCATAAATAAGCACTGGTCGGCTTTAGGAAGCCGAAAGCGGTTTTATATCGCGTTCACCGGTTGTGCTCTGTTTGCAGTTTGCGCGATTTTGCAGATTACGTTAGGATGTAACACACCAAAACCCAAAACTCCGATTCTATATTTAGCTTTTAATAAATCGCGATTTATTATATAATTAAAAATAACAGACTGTATGACAAGCCAATCAGGAACAGCCGACCCGGGCTATAGCTGACGCGGTGCAGTAAACAGGCCTATTAAAGAAATAAAGATTTCAAATCTTTCCGTCACATACAGCACCGTTCCGTTCGCCAGTCTGCAAAAGCAAATTACTGCATCCCTGCCTTGTGCTGCAGATTTGTTTACACACGTTTATGAAAAGCAATTCTGCCCCACGAACCAATTTCTAGCTGTTAAGCCATGCACAATGAGCTTGACTGCAGGGAAACTACATACGTTATGAATAACACAGCATTTAAACGAAAATACACTGATGATTTTCGACGATAATGGCTTACCTTGTATCAACCGAGAGTGGTCGATAAAACCCCAGGCCTTGAATGTTGCTCTCAACCGAGAGATTCAGCCGATTCGGTACAACAAGCTAATGCAGGTCGGCTTGCTGTCTAATACACTGTCCTCGCTTTGGCCTAGAAAATAAATCCGTATACAATTCCCGACTGTTCTGCTTAACAAAAACATACCGTTGAAATAACACGCTGAATCGTAAGCGAAGACCGACAGAAATGATTTAAAGGATCGTGTAAAATTGAGGATTGGTCTGCAATTGCACGCTTGGTCGATACAGACTGTATTCTCAGCGTCGCCCACTAGGGAAAAATAAGTGTGTCCCTTCTATGGAGGAATTTGTAAATAACGTTCAGGGCATATACGGTCTCAGTTTCATCTTATAACCGTCTTCAGACAAACGCGTGGAAGGTGTTGTACGGGAATTGGTAGATGGGAGCAAAATTAGGAGGTGAATAGATGAACAACAAACTCGGAAGTGTCAAACAATACAGTTCAGTGAGGGCACTCGACTCTCTTTGGACTGAGCCGATCCTGAGATACGACACTCGGAATCATGGGAATTGTAGTGAATTCTGAAAGTATTTTCCCATATTTGTGTGAACATTTCTAATTTAGTGTTTATTTTCAGGATAAAATGTACATTAAAATAAACACCAAAATGTAAAAAGCATACAAAGAAAGTGAAACACAACTATTTAAATGATATGCAGAGTCAGCTATAGCAAGTCCACATCTTTATTAGTTCCCCCCCCCATTCATAGAGGTCCACACAAAAATAAAACTTCTGAACTTCCTGTTTTTAGAAAAACAGTGACGTGACAAACAGGAGGGAAAGTGTTAAGAACAGAACAAAACGAACAGAACCTGTGCTTTTGAAGGGAAAGAAAAAGAAAACAAAAGTAGTAATAACAGGTGTACAGTAGTAAGAAAGTGTACAATATTGAAACATTCATTTGAAGAGGATGCCTTGATAACAAAATACAAAGCATACTAAACTAGTAGACAGTGATCCAAGTGTAATTCAAATACAGCTGGAGAATAAGATTAGCACCTGATCTGTGCAGACCAGTCGCATGATTTGACGAGACACTACATAAATCTCCAGAAAGGCTCTTCATGCAGCAAAGGCACCTGGGTTTGGTTGCGGTCAGTCTCAAGGAGAAATCGCAACCATCCTAGGACGTTCTCCTGTGCCGTTAGGTGACTGCTGAAGGTGTAGCCCAATCCAGGCCGAGAGATTTGGCCCTGGTGACATGGGACTCCAACCTGGACAGAAGAATCTAGTTAGCACTGAAACCATGCACTGTACTTTACAAGATAAGGACATTGGCGGTGTTCAGAACAGCATTCTACTCATTATTGCTGCAGTGCATGGCATGCCAATGTTCTGTATGCATACAATAAATGCTTTGACTTGCTACACTTGCAAAAAAAAGGTGCAGCAAACTTAAACATTGATCCAATTTTGTGTAGTGTCTTCAGCAAATATACCACTTCAAACAACCATTCACTCAATATTTAGGTCTGACCTGAGTAGCATTAGAATACAGCCAAGGACCATCAGTTGACAACTCAGAAGGTTGTGAAATAATGGACGACATGGAATCCGGCACCATTTCCCACTTTGTGCCCTCCTTTTCACCACCGTCGCACAGCTCTGTATTCATCTTCTCAAGCAAGCTCTGCCTAGGAGTGTTTTAATTTAGCAAATTAATAGAACTACTGCAAAGACAAAATTGTCTTTGAAGACTTACAATTGATCAACTGGGTCTTGTCCCTCCGTGTCTTTCTGGGAAGCAGATAGCGGGTCCCATGCATGAAGCGCTCTCCGCCAGAGACGGACTTGCATGTCCCAAGATCTGCGGCTATATTTGCGGCATTTGTTTGGAGTGGAAGGGTGAATCCCAGGCACGCGCAGACATCTGAACAGTTAGAAAATATAATACCCCAAAATGTTTCAATACAACCAGGCGAACATTAATTTTTTTTTTAAATTAACAGTTGTTAGCAATTTAATAACGTTCACCAATTCTCACTTTGGAACCTGCTGAACATAGTTCTGGTAGCCACACGTGTTCTTTCCATACTGAATCTGTTTTTGTCTACGCTTCAAAACTGCCTCATTAGTCTCGAATTGTGACGGGTCAGCATTGAGTGGGCACCACTGTCGCCCTGACGGTGACCTACAAAACAAGTGTCATTTAATCAGCTGGCCCAAGAAGGCCAAATAAGTACAAACATATATTTATTAATAATGAAAGCAATACACATTAAATAAATAAATTTAATATATTATTTAAAAAAAAATAGAAGTTCTATTTAAAAATATATAACTTAAAAGCATTTCATACTTAATAGAATGTCATATATACACACACATACTGTTTATATATACACACACACTACTGTTAATATATACTGCTTATTTTCACTTTAATAACTGTACTAAGAGACCTCTTGATCCCATCAATGTCTTCCGTTCCAACAGCAACACTAGCTGTAGACATCTTCAGGATGCACCGCTCAAGAATGGATGACCTGATCAGAGTAGCAACAATTTAAAGTGTTAAAGGCCTCTTTAAATGACTTCTTAACTTCTAAAATGTCTCATACAAAACTTTTACACTAAAACATAAAATATGCAATCAAAAGACATTGAACAAGAACAGACCTGCGAGGCTTCTGAACAGCAGAAGTCTTTTCTCCATTATGTGAAGTTGACTGTGGGGTTTTAGAGCAGCTGGGAAGTGGATTCCACAGTTCACAAATCAATATCAAGCTTACAACCTATAGCAAAAAGAAAAACGCATCTTGTTGCTCCTCAATCAACAGAGATATTTACCTGACAAGACTATCGTACACTGAACTGCAGCCTGGTAGAAGCCAAGGTTCTGGGCTGCATGGGAGAGAGTGTGTTTTAGTATTGAAGTCCTGGGCTGTTGGCCTCAAATGAAGAGGCAGACCTCTAAAATACAAAACAAAAGACAAGCTACAGCAATACGTTACTATAGGTTATTTTAAACCAATAAAATGAATTTTAAAAACATACTACCGAGACTCAAAGGGGCTTTGAAGAAGGCTTTCTATGCGTGTTGTCATGATTTTGGCTACAGCCACACAACACATAGCGTTTGACAAAGCTTTTTATCAGCGGCAGGTGTAACAGGGGCGGGGCTGTACAAATGAGACAGGTAAGGCCACTAATCATAAAAAAAAAATAAGCAGAAAATTGTATAAAATTAAATAATAAAATAAGATACTATTGTGATAACGCGTTCGTGTGAAAGGAAAGGATTGCGCTTTTATTTTGACCTGAAAATGTCTAGCTTGTGTCTGTTGTAGCTGTCAGAGTTTCTAGTGTCTCCAGTAAATATTTCTCTGTTTAGACCACTGATCTATTATTATCTATTATCTCTATTATAGATCGGTGGTTTAGATACATTATTTGTGGTCTTGGCAACAAAAATAACGGACAGATGTTATTGGGTATACAGTGGAATCTGTCATTAAACAGCCCTATTTATTCTATTCAGCAAAATGTAAACAATAAAACAGCTATGAAAGTCAAAACTATTCGTGAAAATCGCGTTAAACGTAAAAATATGAAACGTGTTTTGTCCAGTTAATATTGTGTTTAATTTAATTAAAAAAATATATATATATTCATGGTCAGAGAGCGGCTTTGGTTTGATCACTTTTTAAATTTGAAGCGACTGCACTGGTTTACGACAGCAATACGCTTTACGGCATCACGGAAGCAAAATGGCGTCTGGCAGTGCGGTAAGAAATTTGCTTGCAGATTTATTTCGAATAGTGTTTATAAGCTTTAGTGAAAGAACACATTCATTATATTTTATATGAGAATGTCACGTGTAGGGTCAAATAATCATAGTTGCTGACAATAGTTCATCCAAGTAAATAATTTAAAGCAGTATTTCCTATGTTATCCATCTTTTTCGTTCTCCAGGCAAGCCTGTGCCCCCAGTCAAGCGGGAGCTTCTCCGCCACAGGGATTATAAAGTGGATCTGGAGTCAAAACTGGTCAGAGAGCGGCTTTGGTTTGATCACTTTTTAAATTTGAAGCGACTGCACTGGTTTACGACAGCAATACGCTTTACGGCATCACGGTAGCAAAATGGCGTCTGGCAGTGCGGTAAGAAATTTGCGTTAAGATTTATTTCGAATAGTTTCTTTGTTTAGAATTTTAGTCTATCCGTTTTCTTTTACCATTATTTATGAACGAAAGCTGTTCTTAATTTCTTCCTTTAAAAAGTGTAGACGTCGTGGTAGCCGGGGAAAAAGAAAAACTGGCTGAGCGTGTGACGACAGATGGTTTTGTCTTTGTTGTCGTGTACGTTACAAAAACAAGAAAACGGATATATTTTAACTATGAGACGTTTTGCAATCTGGTATCTCTAGTATTGTTGGCCGACAGCCTTGTTGAACTATCAATATGATCAGATATTGATCATAAAAGTTTATAATAAAAGTTTATTAATGTGCACATGCTTTTCTATGCAGTTTCAGCAGATTTCTAAATACAGCTGATGTGATTCATTTGTTTAACATGTTTATAATAGTATCTCTTTGTTTTTGTAGTCCAAGAATGATTTTCGTCGTAAATGGGACAAAGATGAATATGAACAGCTGGCCCAGAAACGACTCACGGAAGAGAGAGAGAAAAATTTTATATGAGAATGTCACGTGTAGGGTCAAATAATCATAGTTGCTGACAATAGTTCATCCAAGTAAATAATTTAAAGCAGTATTTCCTATGTTATCCATCTTTTTCGTTCTCCAGGCAAGCCTGTGCCCCCAGTCAAGCGGGAGCTTCTCCGCCACAGGGATTATAAAGTGGATCTGGAGTCAAAACTGGGGAAGACTCTCGTCATCACAAAGACCACACCACAGGCTGAGATGGGAGGGTGGGTATCTGTTATGCAATGACTGTACTTTGACTTCAGCAGTATGAGTTTATGAACAAGAGAGTGGACTGTGCGATTAATCCAAATCGTTATGAAATCACAATGTGAACATGCGTGATTTCTAAACTGCAGAAAGCACGATTTATGCGAAGATATTGTGTCCGCAACTATTGTCAATAAAGCCGCAACTACTACTTTAGCTGATAGTCAACATCTTTTTTGATAAAGCTTTCCTGGTTTCCTTTGTAAATATGTTTGAGATTAAAATTCATAAAACCAAAATGCATTTATGAGTGTAAAGTGTAAGCAAATATTATGTCAAAATGGTGATCAAAAGTCAAAATGAAATCGCGATATTGATCAAAAAATTGTGATAGTGTTTTTGTTTTTTTTTGGCTGACAATTTTTCAGGGCATTGCACGATTTCTGTGGATATAATTATGCATTTCCTTCCTCCCAGGTATTACTGCAATGTCTGTGATTGTGTAGTAAAAGATTCCATCAATTTCTTGGATCATATCAATGGTAAAAAACGTAAGTATTGCGGCCTTTGTTCTTTTATTTTATTTTATGTAACATATTCATGTTACATATTATTATTATTATTATTATTATTATTATT